TCTGTTACATAATCAAATAAGGGACTTCATGCTAGAGCGACTGACTTCTGTGGTCAAAATTGAAGAGGAGCAATTAAAATATGGATCAGAAGGAGGTAGAATATACTTGTATGAAGTCTATGTATCATTTCGATAAATAACTTCTAGAATTTGTTTTTTCTTACGGCTTTGTAAATTCACTTTTGAAAAAGCTAAGCGTTAGAGAGGAACAAATGTGATGAAAGTCAGGATGTTGCACGCGTTTGATCAATCACTGTTACGAGTCAGCAGATCGATGCATCTGGAACGGAAAGTTGTTACAAGTTCAATTTAACCCCCTCCTCCCTCCACCCCATGCTGACCGGTCTCATAGTTTTCATTCCAATCGACCGTGAAAGACAACTCACAAAATTTCATTTACTTATGTGATATTGTTACCCCAACATCTGCCACATAAAACCTCGTAGGGCACCTCTATTCGAATGATTATTCATAATCATTATCACCTTCCATCAAATTCTGTTATTTCTCACCTGAAGTAACGGTCAAATGTTTGTGGCATACACGATCTTTCAACCAGTGAAATAACATTTCTTGTAACGGACTGATATGCAGTTATGAACGGGTAGAAGGTGAACCCCCAAGACCAACCGAATAAAACATGAGTTTGTTAATCTAAGTGTACTCAAGTTATGCACAATCGTGCTCTGCAATCAGGCAACATACGATAGAATGGAACCGGATATCCAATCAAGTCATTCCCCTGTGCACCGTCAGACGGAAGTGTAGTTGTTGTGTTTTTTAATTGCGCACCCCAATTGTGATGAAAAGCAGACGGGGCGAATCCCATAGTCACGAGGAACTGCTGTTCAGTAGTGGAAACGGGCAACCTCATCCCTGGGATTTGAAGTGGTAAACCACATAAGGTTAGGCGTGGTATTGAACCAGACGACAGGATAGCGGCCTATCATCAAAGTCGGGTGGCAGTGACCGGGCTCGAACTTTGGACGATAGGGCCCAAATCACGCTTGTGACAGCGACCAAACCACTGCGCTATAACCACCACTAGTTAAAGGGGTAAACCGACCAATCGCCGTCAATCAGCCCATATGTACGGTTGTTTATCGATAATGCCTATACAAAATATGCCGTATTGGGACACGGAATATACAATATGTAATAGAGCGAAATGAAACAATTCAAAAGACAGCTCAAGGAGAAACAGACAGGTCGTTAAAAAGCAGTTTGATATAGGAACCGATGCGGAATGAATAATGATCAATTACGCCGGAAGAGGGACATAGATCACAGATAACAACTTGGGATAGATGTGCTAGTACCAACATGTAACCAATGTAATGCTTGAATGCTGACAGGTGTGAAGACATGGTTCATTTCATATCAAGCTCTATATAGATAAAATCACAACTACTGGCCGCAGCTACGGGTGACCAGATTTCGGCGTGTCTATTGCAGTGTATGAAATGTGTCGAGGTTAAATGGTTTGCTAAGGAGTGAATGTACACTGGCCTAGGAGCTATGATCAAAATATGATATAGCCACTACAATGCGACGATAGGGATCAAACAGAAAGAGGACAATGATGAGTGCATATTAAATTGACTGGCGTCGGAATTTTTTTTTCAAACTGGTTGATCTTATACTACTAATATATAATACTATATACATACATATATAATATGTAATAATAATCTACTAATATAATCTTACCGTGCATAATCTCGACATAGGGAATAAACAGGCCACATTTTTTCTGGGCAATTTCAAAGCCCAATTGAATGGTTCGTCCGCCGTACGGCAGTAGCCGACGGATTCATGCTGTTTTATTTTGTTGGAGATAAACACACGCTTTGTGATGTAACTACCAGTCTTGAGGATGTGGAATATTTTTTTTAAATATAATAACTGGAACAGTGTGTAAGGTCTCGGAGGTTAAATCAGGATGATCTATGTTTTCGTACTGTTTCTTAGTAGAACGAGAGCGTGTGACTATGGTCTTTACTCTCTGGTTTACTTTTTACAAGCCAAACGTAGATTGTGTAAATTGTGCAAGCCAAATACAATTGCTCATCAACGATTGATCTACGGAGTGTTTGTATGTGCAATGCTGATTTGTACATGCACGAGCGAGCAGGTAGACTTCACCAACAAATATATATGCATTTCAAAGTCCAGCAAATTACCTCCGGGGCTCTAAGCTAGTGTTGATGCGGACTTAATTCAAGTTCCTGACCCTTTTAGAGTCCGTGAGTTGTAACATATAAATCCAGTAACATATTTTTGCGGCCGGATACGGTATGTTCACTCTGGATGTTAATCACTTTTATTGCAGTGTTTGCAGTTGAAAAAACGCATTCGATGCTTCAGTTAGTTGTTTGGCAAACTTCCTTTGGGTGATGAACAATTCGGTGGATATTCGGTACCTCCGATACTTTATTTTTTTCTACCAGTAGTGTTTCACAACCGCGGTGGATGTATTCGAACAGTTCTATGTCTGAGTTGGTCGTTATTACTTCACTCCTGAGGCGATGAACTGTATATGAAGGCGGATATTGAAATACACTACGTTTTTTATCATTGTTACTTCCTTTTAGTGGATAATTAATGATTCATTACTAAGGAAGAGAGAAGTGGTCAATAAAAGGGCTGCCATAAAACAAATGGTGGAGAATCAAGTGGTGGTTCTCCCAGGATGATAATTTGATGACCGTAGCATCTAGCCACCAGCGCACTTCACTATAAAGTTCGCCTAGTTTGATGAAAAAATAGTTCGGGATCAGAAGCTAGCTCAGCAAGATTTCAGGCTACTTCAAACAAGGTACATACATTAAATTGAAACTGATAGCAAATAGGGGCAAAGACTAGTTTGATGCAAACCGTACAAATCACCGTAGGATTTAGTTTGTAGCCCTGAGTCGACAACGGTAGTTTGCATTCTGAACCCTTGTTGTTCTCTCATCGAACGTCACGTTACCGCCCAACTTGTCCTACTTAGCTCCCGATTGGCTCAGCAGACATCAACCTGACAAACGGGATGATTAGGAAAGAGGGAGGGAAGTACATAAAGCTAAGACCTATTAAATATTTACTGTTGTTAGATAATCGCCGATTGTCAATCACACCTAAAATTTATTACAAAACAAGAATGTTTTTAACTTATTCCCTAACTGCGAAATTGTGTCATGCCTCATTCAGGCTTCGGGTGAAATGTGCCGCAAAAATTCCTAGTTACTTCGGAGGCGAACAAAAAGATAATTATAAAACAATGTTTCCCCGATACCGAGCTCCACTTTCATCAGGTAATCTGTGTTGTCACTGTTTTACCATTTCACAGGTTGGCTTCAAGAACTTGCACGAAGATTGAATTTCACCTATCGATGGAATCAAACAGAGCCGCCCAACGATGCGGCTCGCTATTTCACTGCCCTGTACTTCACATGCAGCAGTTTGACCTCGGTCGGGTTCGGTAACGTTTCTGCCAATACAACAGAGGAGAAAATCTTCGCCATTTGCATCATGCTTCTTGGAGGTGAGTCAATTTGTGCAAACATTATTAATTCGATGTAACATTTTGTTTTACCCCGGGGTGGACGACAACTGTAGTAGACGGCATGTGTTCAGTGAGCTTTAAAAAAATGGTAAAATTGTTATCTTGAGAATAAGATACCTTGGAATCCAAAGATTAACCCAGTGGCGATTTCAATTGAAAAATATTTTAAAAATGACATATTAAATTAAGTAATTAAAGAAATATTTAATAATGTTTTTAAGATCGAGAAATGAATTCTTATGTAGTATATATATATATATTCCACAACTCGGAAGTGAGGGGGTCAATGATTTTCGTTTTTAAAGGCTAGTCACATCGATCTTTGTCAAGACACTGTCATCGGGCTTATGCAGCTTTTGAACAGGAGCCAGGTGACCGGCCTGAAACCCACCACACTCTGATAGCGCCGCCGCTGTTTGTTCGCGACTGCTTATTTATTGCGGTATTTCACAACTTGTTCACAGCTAACCGTCGTTGAAGGTATCCCCTATCCACAACCTAAGGGCAAGCTTGGTACCATTCAGCTCTGCTTAACCCGAGGGGATCATATTTATTTTTACGTGATGTACAATCACACACATAACTGTAAATGTCTGAAGACGAAGTTACAAAAACAAGTTTGTTTGCTATATTATTTATCTCTTGAAATTCTCATGAGAATCTTCTTTGAATTATCATAGATGGTTTGTTAGTCAGCCACTGGCGATGTCACATCTCTGGGGCATAGACAGATCATGATGAAAGACATAAATCAGTAACTTGTCACTACAACATTGCTAAAAGGTAATCAAGAAAAGAACAGACAAGTGTACAAGAATCAATACATTTTATTTCATAGTTTGCTGGATTTCATGCAAGATATTTTCATTCACATCATCATCTGTATGTGATATTGTTTTGAGTTGTAATTTTAAAACAACCAATTTCAATTTGTTTCTACACAGAGAGGATTAGATATGGCATCGAAGAGAGGGAATTAGTGTTTCATTGCTGGGTGCAGAAAACCGGAAATATAATCCGATTGGTCTACGGGAACTGCAGGCATTCAACTCTGATGTTGAATGATAGTTAAGTTTTTTTTTCAAAATCATTATTTCGTCCACATTAATCTAATCGAGGTGATTGCGTTCGTATGCTTATTTTTTTGTCTTTAATCTCCAAAAACGTGCGCTTACCGTCATAATGATTATATGCGTAACGCATGAGCAGATTTTTACCCGCCTGCGAGACGGAGTTACACTAATTTTGATCGATTGCGTTGAGAATTGAATCTACTGATCAAAATGAAAGATTAGCGGATGCAACGGAGTCTTTTACCAGATGTTCTATTGTGGTGTTGCATTCAATTCTCCGCTTGCTCACGTTCAGCAATTAATTACTTTCTACTGATACCACTAGACCAAGCACAGAAGCATCAATTCGGTTTGCAATTCAACCAAGTATCACTCATCCAAATACCAGAGACTTGTGGAATCCAACCGGGATGCATTAAACGCTGGCTGACTCGAAGAGTGTTCCTCGTGGCGAACAGTTTAATTGAGTTCATTGGCAAACTTAAGTCCCAAATTTTAATCCAAGAAAGTTTAGTAAGTAGTCTGTGAGCTTTTTAAAAGCTTTTCGGCATGAGTTTGAATCCTGCCTATGCGACGAAACATCATATAAATTGAGCCAAATGGTTTTGAACAGATCGGCATCATCATGTTCTGAAGTTAGGCAACAGAGTTCGGGTAACAGTGTACCAGTAATATGGGTTTTATGTAGAACAATTTTCACTAATTGGTCCCAACAGAACGGCGAGCTATCCACTGTCATCCCGGTTGGCAAAGATAATGATGTGTATGCTACACAATACGGATAGGCGTTTTATTCGAGAATGTGAGCAGTGCTATCAGTTGCTACTAATCGTCTGCCAAAACGGATTACCAACATGAATCCCTCGTGGTTATTGCATGTAAACTGCTTTCGCGTTTGTTGAATACGTTAAACAGTTCACATCAAAGCCGACTGTTTGCATACCTTTCTGATACAATGCAGTAGAATATCACGGTTCATAATGTAGGGCAGTTTGTCTGCCAAATATAATCAGGAGAGAACCGCGAGAAAAGGAATCATCTGAGGGGGACGGAGAACCAACCAGCAACTGCGCAGATGAATGCAGCAAACTAAACATTTTCAAAGGTGAATTCCTCGTGTATATATTTGCTATAGCAAATTAAGCGTGAACTGAGAAGCTAGAAAACACTGAACAGCTGTTTCAACCTGGTTGGGTCTCATCAGTAGTGCGAATACATCGATCCAATTGGGGATTGAACCCGGGACCGCAACACAGGCAGAACGCAAGCATGCTACACAATCGGCTACTTCGGGGACATATGATCGGAACGTTTTTCATTTTCATTTACAAAGTGAAAGTTTTATTATGGACAATTTTAAAAAAAAGATAAAGCTTATCATGCCCCATAGGATTTTTAAAAAACTTTTGTTGGATAACTTTATAAAGAAAGAAAATATTCATAAAAATTTGCATGATTACTCACGGATGTTGAACTTTTAATTATTCCAATGCTTTATCAAGTTGCGATTTAAATAGTTCAATTGTAGGAGCACACACTACATCAGATGGCAGAGAATTCTATAAGCCGCACACTCTGAATGCAAATGAGTGATGTCGGCAATCAAGGTGGCTGTTCTGGGTCTTCACCTTTAGTGGATGTCCCCTGAAGTGATCATTATAAAATAAATTTAGCATAGAACGGCAAGGGTGTTTAGGTTAATGCAGTATGTGATATGCCAAGAAAGGGTCCCCCCGAAGTCGGCGGTAGTGAGATGAGTGGAGTCCCTATATTTGCGGTCTTTCGGAGTATGCCCTGTGATACAGACATTTTACAAATTTCGTTGCCAGCCTTTGCGGACGTTTTAGAGCCTTCTTGCCGCGGTTCAACAAAAGATTCCATACTTGAACGGCGTACTCCGTGTGTGGCCGAACGAACGCTGATAGCAACCGTGAAACAGTGCTCTATCAAACTGCCCGAAAGCACGTTTGAATTGTCCAAATTGCTTTAGAGCCATAGATGATGCTCTGGCACAGTACGTGGAACATCCTACGTCCTCCTGTACCATAACTCTTAAATCCCTTTCATCAATGGCATGCGGTAGTATTTGGGTCCCCAGAGCATACGAGAAACGACTCTTATGCCACATGGAAATAACTCTGCATTTGGAAACGTTGAACTCAATGTCATTGGCGATTGACTATCGGTGGGCTGCGTCGATCGTTTGTTGGAGTGCTATATAAGCCTCAGGATGTGCTACAGTTCTCCACATCTTAGCGTCATCCGCAAATAGCAATGTTTTAGGCCCAAGAACACGTGGCAGGTTGTTTATAAATGCCAGAAAGAGATGAGACCCCAGCACGGATCCTTGAGAAACTCCTCGGGTAGCGGTGGTAGGCACCGATAATTAATCACCAACACGAACCGACATGGTCCTTTGTCGGAGAAACTCTTTGATCCAGTCCAGAAACAAACATTTACTCTGTAGTCGTAGAGTTTCCACAGCAGTATTTGGCGGTTTACTCGATCAAGTGCCTTGGAGAAGTCCAAATAAACTATATCGAATGGCTGTCCTGCATCGACGGATTTTGTTCACTCATCCCATGCAAGAAGTGGATTTGTGGTGCACGAACGCTTGTGCCAAAATCCGTGCTGAGTGGGAGACAAAATCTCATGTTTCTCCAGATATTCTACCAAAAGATTAGTCACAATAGCTTTCATGACTATCGACAACATCGGAAGAAGAGTAACAGGACGGTAGTTGGCGGGATCACTGCGAGATCCCCCTTTGTAAATGGGGGAAATCACCCCTCCATGACTGCGTAATTATTGC